AATACTACTTTTTCCAAAAATATATATATATATATATATATATATATATATATATTAAATTAAACTAATTCAAATGCAACCGACGAATTCTGGTTCAATGACCGATAGAGAGCTCTGAAATTCTCTCCACAAATCCACTTCTAGCAGCCTTCAAGATTTCTTTGGTGCATATCCGCCTCTAAGAAACCATATGAATCAAATTTATAGCAAGAATAATGATTTGAGCCATCAAATTTCCTTTATAAGGGGTTTTCTTAATTGTCTTAATTGTTGATGGGTTTTTATAATCAATTTTTGGGAAATTTGATAAAATTTTTGGCGTCTTAATATGTACCTTAATATGTGCACCCGTCAATTTTCAACCGAGTTACTTTTATAAAAGTTTACTCATTGAATTAAGCAGTTTAATGTAAGGAACTATATATTAATTATAAGTAGATTAGGATATATAAAATTTAAAATTTATAACATTTAAACTGAATTCCTAATCCTATGTACCTTAATATGCGCACCCGTCAATTTTCAACCGAGTTACTTTTATAAAAGTTTACTCGTTGAATTAAGCAATTTAATATAAAGAACTATATATTAATTATGAATAGATTAGGAGATATAAAATTTAAAATTTATAACATTTAAATTGAATTCCTAATCCTACATTAATCCCACAACTTCAAAGTAGCCAACTGAAATTCCTTTGCCTTTAAATCCTTCATTTGGTTGAATAGGGCTTGAGCTTCACATTTCATTCTCCTCCTGATTTCTATCTCTTGATCCCACTCCCTTTTCTTTTCTTGCGTGTCAGAAGCAGGTGGGGAGACGTTGCAACCCTTGCTACAGTACAAGCGTTGTGATCAGTGAAACCGAGTGACACTTAAGAAATATGCAACTTGGGATTTAGGGCTCTAGGGTGAAATCTTAAGGTGTGAACCTCTTTTTCACTATATTTGAAGCTCTCATTTCCTTCATCACCCTTCGGTCTTGACTTTTGCCTCATTTTTCATGCATTTTTCTTTTTCGATAGTCGTTGGAGGTGTTGATTGTGTGTCGAAAGCATTGAAAGTCTCTTGCAAACTTCCATAAAGGTCCTAACACGATATCAGCTTAAGAAAGGTGTGATTAAAAATGATAAAAAGTAACTTTGACAGATTTGGAGAAAAATTGGCCACCGAGAAAGCGGTTTAAGGTATATTTTGGCAAATTAATGATATTTTGAGCTAAATTACATAATGAACTAATGTATGAAGTCAAAATTCATTTTAGATTTCAGGTTATTTACATTGTTAGTTAATGTGTCGACGGGAGCCGACGGGGCAATATCAACCAAGGGTGTGTGAGGTTTTTGATGGTGATTCTCATAGAGAGAAATGTATGTAAATAATTCAAAGTATAAGTAATGCTAAATGCATATAGAAGATTAGTGCTTGTTCATTTAGAAAAAAAGTTATTGATACATGCATTAGTATATATCATATTTCTTATGAAAGATAAGCATGTTATAAGATTTCTTATAGACTAGCATACATATTATATTTTTTTTCTTTGAATTTTTGTAGTTTAGAAGCGTGCTTACTCCTTAGTTATCTTTAGATAGCTCATTACGTTGCTTCAAAATTATTTTTAGGTCTTAAATATTTTAACAAGATGACTAAGAGGAGCAAGTTTATATAGGAGACGAGAACGACAACCAGAAATATATAAATTTCTACTTGTTAGTTTTAATGGCATTATTTGGTGGCTCTTTCATGCATTATTTGAATATTAAATAATTAGTGATAGAAATAGAATAGCAGTGAATTGATTTTCAGAGTGCGATCGTTTGTTCCCATCTTGGTTGACCGGGTCGTGACAAAAATGGTATCGTAGCAGAGTTTCAGATTAAATAATATGAATCTTAATGAAAAACCAATATGATAATTGCATGAAGTAATAAATAATATAAATTAGAAATTTTAATTGAATTTAATTAAATTATATGGATGTTTTTTTGTTTAGAATTATGGATGATCCGAAGAAAGAGGTTAGAGATGAGAATGTAGAATCTGCTGTAGCCTAGAATGTAATAGTCAATGTTGGTGTTTTATCTTATATGATGAATATTGTAACTCAGTTGATTAAGAATTCTCAATCTCAAGCTAGTTTCAGTAAAGGAGCACCAATGGATAAGTACTTGAAGGCTTTAAAGACATGAAACCATATTTGTTTTTTGTGGTAGGAGGGCTAGTGGAATCAGAAAATTGGCTACTGAGAGTGGAGAAAATCATAGACAGTGTGTCTTATCCACCGAAGAGGACAGATGCTCTAGCTGTTTTTGCTTTTGAGGGGTAGCTGAAAGATGGTGGCAAGGTCAGATGCAGGAGAAGTTCAGAGGAAGAACCAGTCACTTGGTGTAGTGGGACGAGTTGGTGAAAACCTTCAGAGATTGGTTTGTATCACTGTTAGCGGAAGACAAATGCAAAATAAATTCATTAGGTTGGTGCAAGGAGATCAAAGAGTTATTCAATGAGAAGCAGAGTTTAGTATGCTTTTGAGATACACTCCCCAATTTATTCCAAATGTAGAAGAGAAATGCCACAAATTTCTTTCTAGATTGAAGGATTCAATCAAGCAGCCACTAGTGTCACTTGGGATTGAAAACTATTCAGTTCTAGTGGAGAGAGCTAGGCGGGTGGAGATTGTTTTCTAGCAGACTCAGAAGCATGGAGATTTGTACAAGAGAATGAATTCAAAAGAAGTGACTCCATCTCATTTTAGAAGAAGGGGAGTCTAGTGGAAAAAATATGAAGTTCTACTCTGATGGAGTTATTAGCCAAGCTAGCAGCATCACTATACAACCTTGTGTTAACTGTGGAAAGCAACATCATGGTGAATGTTTACTTGGTTTGAAGGCGTATTACTTATGCATATAACCTTGACATCAGAGGAGAAATTGCCCTAATGTTGTTCAGAGATCCATACCAGATGTTCACTCATGAAGGGATCTAGCTTAGAGGAATTATCACATATGTTTTTGTTATCAATTTCACAAAAAACAAACTTTCATAAACACTTTTGTTTCATCTTTATAGTTGATGTAAGTTTCATGAATTTCGAGGACGAAATTTTTTAAGGAAGAAAAATTGTAATGAATATTTTTTTAGAAATTTATTAAATTTTTTTGCTACTTAATATGTATCTCAATGTTCACATCCTTCAAATTTCAACCGGGTTAATTTTTAATTTTTTTTATTAAATTGAATAATTTACTATAAGGAACTATATATTAATTATAAATAGATCTAATAGATCGGGAGATATAAAAGTTGACACTTATAAACTTTAATAAATTAATTAAACTTTATTAATTCCTAATCCTCCCGTATCTTCCTTTCCTTATGGTCAACCGACATTCCTTCATAGTCTCGAGCTCCGCGTTTCTCTCCTCCCGATTTCATTCACTCGATCTCGTTCTCTGTTCCTTTCCCGCGCGGTAGAAGCAGGCAGGGGCGAGCTGCGACCCTCCCGATTTCACTCTCTCGATCCCGCTCGCTGTTCCTTTCTCGCGCGGTAGAAGCAGGCAGGGGGAAGCTGCGACCCTCCCGATTTCACTCTCTCGATCCCGCTCCCTTTTCCTTTCTGGGGCGGTAGAAGCAGGCAAGGGAAGCTGCGACCTTACTACAGTGCAAGGGCCACGATCAGTCAAACCAAGCGGCACCTGAGAAGGCCGCAACTGGTGATTTAGGGCTCCGGAGTGAAATCTTAAGGTTTGAATCTTTTTTTCACTATAATCGCTCAGCCAATTCATGGCAATCTGGATGCCAATACTTTACTTTATATCAACTTCATCCGCCATCATGTTTGTTTATTTCGTCGTTGCTGTGATCTCTGGTCGGCGGCGGCGGAGACGGGCCGCCGTTTCCATCCATACACCAACGACGGAGGCGGCGGGGAGCGCGTACTGTGGTGCGCCATCAAAGCTGTTCAGGACGAGAACCCTGATATTGATTGCATCATCTACACCGGTGATGATGGCACACCAGAAACTCTGGCTACCAGGGCGCTTGACCGATTTGGCGTCCACCTTCTTTACCCTCCTATGGTACGCTATCCCCTTACTAGTTTTTGGAGTATGTCTATTATTTATGCTAGATTGATTCTCTAAATGCCCTGTTTCTTGGAAAATTTGTCATGCAATTTAGCAGTGCAACAGTTATCGTAATTCTTATTGCAATTTCTATAATTATTTGTACAGGGCTTTTTGGTTGCTTGCAGTGGTAAACTTATTTTTGGGAATGATGATGATGTCTGATCAATTTTTTTTATTCTTGATAAGTTTCATTGCTTGTTATATCTTGTTAGTTTGATGAGTTGGTGCTGTAATCTATTTGAGCAAAAATATTTGACAAGGTTTTGTTGATATTTGTACAGGGATTTTAGGAGTATTTTTAAGCTACATTTTCAGCCTGAAATTCATTTATATTTTATAAAATTTTTATAACAAATATTTACCCCCTTCTTGACTTTTAAGTTTTGCTGCTTGTTGTCGTCACATGGGAGTGTTTCATAAAGTATGTATTGATTCTTATCTTAATGTCCCCTTTTTATAGCATTTTTATGGTACTAAAGAAGAAAGATAAAGCTTCATATTTACCAAGGAATTTGTTCAACCTATGCCATGTTGTCCTTTACTTTTCTGTCATCTGAATTCAGTTTCTCATAGTGTCCAGTTATTAATGCAGGTTGTTCGCTTGTACAAAAGAAAATGGGTAGATGAGAAATCCTATCCCCGTTTCACTATGATTGGGCAAAGTTTTGGCTCTGTTTATTTATCTTGGGAGGCCTTATGTAAATTTACTCCACAATTCTATATTGACACCAGCGGCTATGCTTTTACGTATCCACTTGCTCGGGTTTTTGGTTGTAAAGTTATTTGTTATACTCATTACCCAACAATCAGCTCAGATATGGTCTCCCGTGTTCGTAACTACAGTTCAATGTATAACAATGATGCTCTTGTTGCTAAAAGGTATGTAAAATTACGTTAGTATGTGGACTAAATTTTGATGACGTTTGGAAATTTTTATTGTTGTTTTGAAGTATTAGAATATTCAGGCTTTTTATATTGTTTTTTTTTAACAATTTATTTCAATTGAATTATATTGCTTAACCTGTTGTTATAATTAGCTCTAATTATACTATCCTTTATTATATATCCTTGAGGTAAGAGATTTATAATGGGTTAACAATTTTGTATTGCTTTATGAACTTTCTTTTCGGATGAATTTGTCCGTCCATTTCCTTTTCATTGCTACAGATAATGCTCAACTTATAAGTCTTTTTTTTGTGGCAGTATTTGGCTATCTCGTTGTAAGATCGTATACTACATACTTTTTGGTTGGCTGTATGGCCTTGTTGGATCCTGTGCACAGCTTGTCATGGTGAATTCCTCTTGGACACAATCTCATATTGAGAAGATATGGAAGATTTCTGCACGTATTAAGAGGGTGTACCCTCCATGTGATACTTCGGCCCTTAAGGTATTTGTTTTAGACCATTATTTATTAAATATCTTTTGGACTGACAATGCAAAAGCTCCTCGTCTGATTGAATTTATTACATTCCTTATTGAATAAAATTTTCAACATCTATAAAAGCAGATAATTTATTGAATCAACTTGGTATATTTCAATATGTTTTGGAATAAGCATCTTAATGGGGTTGCTGGATAATCATGAATTGGTCGTTAATTATGTCTGTTTAGGAAGAAATCCAGTAGTTTCTTTTTGGTTCATGCTCCCACTTTGAAGCATGCTTTCAATGAAGTCTTTTTTGTTGAAGTGTACCTGGTTGTTTTGTAGGTTTTGCCATTGGAAAGACCCGCTGAGACAGCTATTCTTGTTTCTGTTGCCCAGTTTCGGCCAGAAAAGGTGTGTGGACGACACTACCTTATATATATATATACATACATATATATATATATATACATATATACATAGATATAATGAAATACCATTAACTAGTCTTCCATATACCTTACTGTTATTTGAATTTCTGACAGGCTCATGGTCTTCAACTTGAGGCATTTGCACTTGTTGTTGATAGGCTAGAACCAGACATGACTAAACCAAAGCTGCAATTTATTGGCAGCTGTCGGAATAAGGAGGACCAAGAAAGATTGCAAAAATTGAAAAATAGAGCATCTGAGCTTAACATGGAAAATTATGTGGAATTCCACAAGGATGTCAAGTACAGGTTTGTATTTCATATGCTATTCATTTTGATGCATCTATCTAATCTACCTGTACATTTGGAAGATGAGGATTATGGATTAAAGATGCTAAGTGTGCAATTACTCGACCCATTTATTTTGCCGGTTATTGTTTAGATTCTTTAGACATGAGATCCCCTCAATCGATGTGACACTCTCAGTCACTGTATTAGCCCACATTAGATGGGGTACTAACTTAGGTTTTGTTTGGGATAAATTTTATTTTTAAAACATGTTTGTTTAGTGTGTTTTTTATACAATTTTTATTTTTTATTCCTAAAAATAAATTAATATGTTTTTGAAAATACTCAAAATAACTTTTAGGGGTTATTGAGTGTTTTTAAAAACAACTATACTTTAATTAAAAAACAATTTTTTTTTTAATTTCAAATCAAAACATAGGCAAAATAAAATAAAAATACAAAAAATGGATAATAAAAAACAATATATTGGCCAATGCTCTTGGGTGGGTGAGTTAGAGGGTACTGAAGTCATGTTTCTTCTGTCAACTTGACACATGTCAAGCTGCATGAAACCATCTTGATCATATTTTTTAGGAGAAATTGGTTCCTTTGGATGGATAATGTAATGGACAAAATTAGTGTGGAAAGGGGGCTATTGCTTTTTATAAAAACTTTTTTTCATACTTCTCAGTTTCCAAAATCAACGTCTTCATGTTGCTAGAGAGGGAGGGATTTTAGTGTGTAAAAACTTTATTTTGTGCTTCTCCATTTCATAATTCTACTATTTTATTGGTCTTTTGTATTTTTGCCTTGTTAAATTATGTCACATGTATATATCTGTTACCCTTATGCTACATGCATAATAATGCTTTTCTTCCACTTTGTTTATATTTTGTAACGTTTGCTAGAGCTTAGCATATCTTGTGAATGGCTTCATGATCATGATTCATTGTTCTTTGTCATTATTTTACTTAGTTTTTCTTAATGATGTATGCTTTTCCTGCTAATAGCTTTATAATCATTATTTTTTTGTTCTGTCTTTATTTTAAATGATTTATCTGGATAATGCATCAGCTAGCCAATTGATTCAATTTGATTTCCATTTTATATATTTTTTTCTTTATGAGAATTTTTTTTAATCGTTTTACCAGTATATTCATAAAGGAAATTCTCAAAGAGCGTTGCAAAGCGTTAACTTCCAAGTGTTGAAGTAATGAAATCCTTCTTGCGAATTGCTTCATTTTTCACTTTGTGTAAATAGTATTTATTTGGCGTGCTTAAAAGACTTTTTGTTTTATATTATGTGTATCATGCCATTTAATTTTTTGCTTTTAATATTGGTTCAATAGGGATTTGGGTTGCTTTGTTATGCATAGCTTTTCACAAATCTACTATGTAGTGTTGTTTTCCCTTAAAGACGACGGAATGTCTGCATTTTTCAGTTTGTACCTTCGGATCATGCACTACTAGAATATTTTACTATGAAACCCCCAAACCAACCAATTCTTGTCACCATATACCTATCTATCATTGTTTAATGGGCTGATTTCGTTGCTCTTACCCATTTTGTAGTATAAATATAGTAATTCATCTTAATTATTCCTCTGATTTTCTTACATCACTGTGTTTCCAGGATTCATTTTTTCGTTAAAGCAAATTAGCAGGTTATAATCCTCCCCCACTCCCCTCTCCTCTCACATCTGATAAGCTTATTTTTTTCATGGTTGTGCTCCCATGCATTCATGTTTTTAAAATATTAGGATGAACTTATTTCACGTAATTTAAATCGGTTTTCTCATTTGTATTGTTTTGGTTTTACTTTGTTATTTTGTCTCGTATTGAATAAACGAGCTAAATTAGTTTTGCAATGGCCTCATCTGAGCTGACTAACGTATGCCCTCACTCCTGGTTGACGCATCAGTTTTAAATTTTAGATTGGACTAACGGCTCCTTTGGTTGCTTGAGATTAGAAAACATGTTTTAAAAAATGACGAATTTATTAAATTTTATCATTTACCTGAATACAGTTCCAAAATTAAGCTTGGTTTTCAACTTTACAGATGCCTTCTAAATTGCTTAAAAGTGATTATTTTCATTTTATGCACTTGAAATAAATGATTTTTTTTAAATTCATTTTTTATAATTGCATGCAAGCTGATAGAACAACGTGACCCAACATATCTGTAGATGTTCGGGATGTAAATGTTGCCCTGATAAAAATTCAATAATTTTTGTTTCATAATAAGATGTAGAAAAGAGACCGGTAATATTTGAAGAACTAAGGATTTTCTGGTTTTTTATTTTTTTCTTAAGAAAGAATCTACAGCCTTGGGTATTCAGTTTCAGCCACCATCATCTGTTTTCTCTAGCAATCTTGCTGCCTTGCTAAACTCATTCCTCAATTTTGCTATAATTGGATTCTTAGAATTTGAGATAAAAAAAAAAGTTTGAATAGTTTAAATCAACTTCTGCAAAATCTTTATCAACTTGTATACATTGTCGGGATTTCGTTTCATTTCGTAGATTCTTCAATCCAACAAAAACTGTTTTAGAAGATCTTGCTGTTGAATAGTAGGTTTAGATCTTGTGAGTTCAGACGGTAAGATCCTTTCTCATATGGAGCCTTGAAACATCGCCAAGTTATAGTTAAAGAAAATAACAAATGACCAGAACTTGATGTAAAAGCTGCATGATTCAGTGATTTATCTTGTGTGATTTTTATCTATATTGCTCCTAAAAAATAATAATGTGCTACTGCTAGAGGAAACAGATGCACGTAAAATGTTCTTTCTTGATGTGTGATTAGGGGTGTAAACGAGCTGAACTTTAGCAAGCCTAAGGCTTGTTTTGGTTCGGCTCTTTAATTTTTTTCTTGTTCATGTTTAGCTTGTTAATAACTTGTTTGTGTTCAGCTTGATTCAAGCTTGAATAAACTAGTGTTCGGCTTGAATTTAATTAAAATATGTCCAAAAATTTTAATTAATTACATTATTTTTATAAAAAAAATTATTTTACTGAACATGATTTGGATGCCATTCCACACATCCACATAGCTTAGCTTCTTTTATAAACTTTTCTCACAATAAATATGTTGAACACCTGATGTGGGACTGAAGTTCACTGTTCCATCCTTTCTGCGTGCCGCAGCGTGGTGACATGGTCCCGGCTCTCTGTTGCCATCCTTGCCACAACAACAACTAACCTACTATTAACATATTTTTATGCTAGTTAAAAAATTTGTGAGCTTTTACCCACCAATGCTTTTTTATACTTATATTTACATTTGCACATTACATACACACCGTCAAAATTTAGCCTTCTCAGGTTCATTTACATACATATCATGCAAATTCTATTCATTTAAGTTTTAATACCTAAACTTATTTTTTTTAATAATTATACCACCGAAATATAATTTTAAAATAAAAAAATTTAGGCTTTTTTTTATTCATATAAAAAATTGTATAAAAAAGAAATAAATAAACATTATTATTTAATTGTTTAATTATTTCGAGCCAAAACGAACAGAAAACATGAACGAACAAACATTTGTTTGTGTTCGGCTTTTCTATAAATCAAGCTCAAAAAAATTATTTATGTTCCGCTCATTTGCTTAACGAATGAGTCGAATATGAGTTATTTAAACAGTCAAACACGAGTTTTTCGCAGACGGTGAGCTTTTTTGACAGCCATATGCGTGATCATTAATGCTGTTAGAATTTGTGAGCCGAATTTTATTTGGCCTGAATCGAAAAGATCACATTACACCATATATAGTGCAGTGAAAAATATGTAAACATTATTTTGGAAAATTTTGCTTGTTAGTGGAGGGATTGGGGCTATATATAGAGAGATAGGATTTTGTATATATGAAGGGGGTCAGCCGTGGAATCTAACTGCTCTTTATAATCTTCTCTATTTTATAATCTTCTGCAAGAGTAGTGAATATTTTAAATTTTTATGTAAATTTGTGTGCTATCTTCTTTACTTCTACTAGTTCATTGTGTTAGTTTCCTAACAAAAGCCATGTTCAGTCAATTTTTTTTTGAATCCGTACTGTTGCTTTTACTGTTCATTGTGTTACTTTCGTAGCAAAAAATTCATGTTATCCTATTTAATCTGTACTGTTTTGATGATCTTATTTGTCATTACCTTATGTCATCAGCGAATTGGTGAAGCTATTGGGTGCTGCTATTGTTGGGCTTCATTCCATGATAGATGAACATTTTGGCATCAGTGTGGTTGAGTATATGGCAGCGGGTGCTATCCCTATTGGTAAGTTAGCTTGCTTCTAATTATGCCAATATAACATAACAAGTATAATTTTACGCTTCCTTTAGTTATTTTCTTATTCTAGTCATTAAAGATATATACACTAGAGCTCTTACTTTGTTCGAGCAGAAGGAGAATTGACCAAGTATTTTCCTATTTTAGTTGGAGTACATTAGGGTTCAGCTTTAAGCCCATATTCTTTTGCTTTAATTATGTATGCTTTTCGCCGTTGATATCCTTCTTGTGGATAAGACTAGAGAAAAAAGTTATGGAAAAACTTGAATTATGGAGGTCTACATTTGGAATCTAAAGGCCTTAATTTGAACAGATCTAAAATTGAAGACATTGAATGTAATTTTAATAGCAGATCTAGTGACAGGGTTGTAACTATAGACGATCAAATCATTAAAAGGTGTGAACGTTTTAGATATCTCGGGTTTTTTGTTCAAAGTGATGGTGATTATAGATGAGGATTTTATTATTAGAATTGAAGATGGATGGTTGAAGTGGAGGAATGCATCGGGGCTATTGTGTGATAGAAAAGTATTGCTCAGAATTAAAAAGAGAATTTTATAAGATAGGTAGGGGGACCTGCAATGCTTTCTGTCGCATAATGTTGACCTTTAAAAGAGAAGCATGAGACTAAGTTAAGTGTTATTGACTTAAGAATGCTTGGGTGGGTGAGTGGCTTGACACTTAAAGACAAAATGTGAAATGATTGTTTCCGAGAAAGGTTTGGTTTAGCTCCAGTGGTAGCCAAGTTTTGAGAGTTGTTTTAGATGGTTTGGTCACATTAAACGTCGATTATCTGATGATCCGGTTAGGTTAGGAGAATAGATGTTTTTAGGAGAATAGATGTTTTAGATTTGATTTATGTTAAGAAAGGCAGAGGTTGACCTAATTAAACTCGGGCATATTACATAAAAAATGATCTTAATTTATTATAATTAAATTAAATTATGACACTAATAGGACACAATGGAGAAGAAGGATTCATGTAGCCGACCACACAGTGGGATAAAGGCTTGTTGTTGTTACTATTGTTTTTTTTCTTTTCTTCTCCTTTTCAAGTATTGTTCTCATTTACATGAAAAATGAGTGCAGTCATTCAAAATTAAAAATGGGTGCATCTACATTATCCGAATGAAGGATATTAATTGCCATCCACATAACCCTCATAATCCGATGCACCCAAAAGAAATGAGGAATTAGTTGCTTTCATTAGGAATACACATGCAACACTATATAACAACAACGAACCGACCTTCCAAAGGAACTCAAAAGCTCGTATTTGTCACCATTCATCACAGACATCAGACACCCACATGCAAAAAAAAAAAAACCGAAACTAACAAATAAAAACAAATTTCAGAAACGTCATTATGATATATTCGAAAGTTTAAAATAAACAAACAAAATTCTTATAAAAATCATAAAGTCTAAATTTACAGTAACACGAAATGCATACGAAAATAAACCTATAGTCTAATAAATAAATAAGACTTGATAGATCGTCTGCCACAGATAGCATCTGCGATTGATTCTCTCAAAGCAGTCATCTCGGTCACACCTTCAGGTAATGAAGGTCCAACCGCAAATTTTGAAGGTTTTTCAGAGACATTAAGTTCATCATTGTTAGTCATACTGAAGTTCGTATTTGATTGAGAGGGATATCGTCAGATGAAGTTATGAAGTGTCATTGTGGCCACCACAATGTGCACCTGCTTTAGAAATGGATACGACGATATTTCACGTAGGATGACTCATTTCTTCTTCCAAACCCCAAATGTTCTTTCAATTATCCTGCGTAAAAAGGAGTAACGTTTATTAAACATTTGTTTTCTGCCACGGATAGTGTCACTTGCTCTCTCAAAATCAGAAATATGGTACCTGATGTCCGGATAGGGCTTTAGTAGCCCCTCTGCATAGGATATACAGCATCAACCAAATAATATTTTCCTGTTATGAAAACATTGTTAATGACAAATAATGCATATAACAAGTACGTTTACAAAGCAAAACAAACCTAAAAACGGGTGAGGGCAACACTGTGATCTATTTCTAGTTGCATAAGAGAAAATGTGACTGTCATGTGCACTCCATTCTCAGTCAGCCATTACAAAAGTAAAACACATGTTGAAACCACATACTATCATGACATTTTGAGTAGTTGAACCATTATGACCAATGTACGTCACGTTGTCGTGGTTGGGTAGTCGGGCATCACGTGAGTACTGTCGAGTGCACCTATGTAGTTCTGTTTTACATTGTTAGAAACTAATTATATTCTGAAAGTAATGTAACGAATCAATAAGGCATGTAACGAGGATCGTTGGAAATTTATTCTGGAGTATTAGCAAATGATAGATCCTCTGGCTTAATGATTTGAGTTGCTAAGCTAACAAGTGCCTGTGCGCATTTGGAGAAGTACCGACTAATTGTTATTTTTCCATAGCTCCTCGAATTGATTCCTTCTGTGACAGAATGTATAATGTTATAGTCAACACATCCATAGTCGTCGTTCTAGAAGAACCTTGGAGGCCGTGCTTCAGAGATAACTCGTGAAGGAGATCTATAAAAATAGGTGCAGTCATTCAAAATATGTTGCTGAACCTTATTAGATGTCCAGAAAGCATCTCACCCACCCATTTATACCCAGCAAAGTTGGACGTCATGCGGGGTATTTGAACAGTGCTAGATCGGTAATATTCCAACAGCAATATCGAGCTGCAACCCATGTCATTCTTTTACGACGTTCTTGCTGTGGATCCATCCTAAAAGAAAAAGATGTAAGGGTTAAAGAAATTGTTAAGACGTAGTAGCAGCAAAAATAAGTAATGAGAACATCAAGGACTACAAAATACACAAAAAATTAAAAATGTATATTCTGGAAAATAAATATAAGTTTTTAGAAGTACATAAAAAAAACTACAAATATCAACATATTAAAAAGTCTCGTTTAGAAGTACATAAAAAAAACTACAAAAATCAACATATAAAAAGACTCATTCATCCACCAAAACACGCAAAAATTTGACGCACAATTTGGGTCGCATCGTCATGAATATTTGCCTACGGGTAGGATCCTCAAGTCTTTTTACATAATTTGCATGATATCGCATATCGACAACTACTTCAGGAAGAGCATCCAAAGTTCCAACACATTCTATGATGCTGCTGTTAGGGAGTGCAGCAGGTGTTGGAACTGCAAAAGCATCAATGAGTAGATCGAATGAGTTTTTTACAAAAATGTCATTTTCTTTTTTCCTCCTACTAAGTCTGGGTCTCTTTGACAGTGAACTGGACTCCCCCATCTATTTCTGGTTAATACTACGCTCTTCTTCGTCCGCTGTCAACTGCTCAGGTGGCAAGTCATCTGGTATGCCTGCAAACCCATCTCACTAGGGTTGAATGCATGCTTTCCCATCATGACAACCCTTTTAAACATTATGTCAAGTTTATCTTCAAAGTCTGGCTCAATTCCACGCTACTTATATTTTTTCGCTGCCGACATTTCCTGTAATATTTCATTGAGGAGGGGGGTTTAGAGGGATTATTTGTTAAACCAAAACATTAAAAGAATAAACAAATTGAGAGTGTAAATATTACCTCTACACGCTACTTATATTTTTTCGCTGCCGACATTTCCTGTAATATTTCATTGAGGAGGGGGGTTTAGAGGGATTATTTGTTAAACCAAAACATTAAAAGAATAAACAAATTGAGACTTAATGGAATCTCAACCCAACCCGGTAGATCCATGTTTCAACTTCTTCTAATATCGATTGTCCGCTTAATGGAATCTCAGCCCAACCCGGTAGATCCATGTTTCAACTTCTTCTAAATTTTTCGTTCGTTTTTCAATTGATCCCATTTATTTTTGAATTTGAGTCTTTCGCAATCTCTTCTCATCAATTCTTTGAACCTCTTCGCAATATTTTATCAACCTTCCTTGTTAAAATACGTGGTTGGCCTATTTTCAAGTTCTATTTCTTTAATACAGAGATTGCAAAAAATATTTGTAACTTCCTTATCCCACATAGCTAACGGACCCCCTTCATTCATCTTAGATATGTTGGAACTATAAGGAACTTAAAATATAAGTACAAGGAATAATTTTAAGTAAAAAAAATAAAAAAAAACTAAGATGCAATATGCTCAGCATATGAAGTAAATGGCCTAACTCCAACAATCCAATATGGTCATCAAATTCGGAAAGAAAGTTGCCAACAAAATGACCGACATGCTCTCTTATTTACCTGTAGTGCTTTCTTGTTTCTTCCACTACTATACAGGTGGAACCTTATGTGAAAAAAAATTAGCATGAGCAATACTGGAAGAATCCCTTCTTTAAATAGATATTGGAGGATTGGAGAGACCAAATCCTTAAGAGTATTCTCTAGTATCTTGCAAATAAATGATCATTAACAAAAAAGCACAAACTTTTTCAAGCGGGTATGGCATACTTTGAATTACCATGTCAGGTGTTAAACACAAATATACTGCACCTACCAAGAAGATATAAGAAGCATCACAATAGCAGGGATAACCTATCATTCCTTCAATTATGCTTCAACAGGGTTATATATTCCTCCACAGTGATGACACCAATTTCACTTGATTTGAATCTCACTTGCGGGATATCAACTAAAGAAGCAATAATAGAATTAAAACCTTTAATACACTGACAATAAATAGTGTCCATTTCATGAAAACTTTGAATAATAAGAAGTGGCTGATGTCATTTTGTAATAACCTTGAAAAACATATGTTCATCAACATCCAATACATTGAACCACAAGAACAAAAAAGTAAAATAGAATGGGGGAAAGCATTTCTTAAAGTTAATATGTAACATATGTAACTTATCTCCCCGACCCCGATGTGTCTCGAGAACAAGGTACAGATGATTGAGATGCTTCAACTTAACAAATATCAAATAGCATAATCCTCATAAAGACCATTACAAAGATCAAATAGCATCACTATCTATTCATTCCAGGCATCTAGTGATGCTTATGATATTGCAATGGGTATTTATAGAACCATTAAGTGGCCAGTTGCAATGGGTATTAGGGCTTTGCTAAATAACATGAATTAGTGGACAGCTACAAGCTTCAGTTCTTCCTGTTTAAGAAATGTTTTTTCTTCTTATGCTACCCCTCATTAGCATGGAGTACAAAACTCACTTCAATATAATGGCTTTCCCTATATAAAGCATTTGTTCTTTCAAGAGTAAACGTAATGTTGATTACAAAACTCATGCTAGTTTTGTAAATCTATTTTCTATTTCGATTAACTCAAACTGATCAAAACTCGATAGAAGTAAAGCATAGAAGTTTTTTTTGACAGATAAGAAATCTTCATCACTCGCCATCAACCTATCAAAACTCCTCGTGCCATTAATCAGTTCTTATCATTAATTTCTCATCATGATATTCAATTGGCCCGAAAAAATCTCATGAAAATTACACTTTGCAATTCCCAAGGCTTCACAAGTAATTCATGAAACATGATGTATAGAGTCATTAAAAGCTAAATAGAAATAAAAAGACAGAAGTGGCACTTAAGTTAATTCATTTCTTTCTCAAAAAGTAGATTGAGGCTCCCAAACTAGCAACTAATATCAGCCCTAGAACATCAGCTCCACTGTAAACTCCAGCTGAGTTTGTAGAGGCTGCTGCAAGCCCTCAACCATCAAAGTAGTGAAATCACACACTACTAAGTACTTGAAGTAGTCAGTAGTTTCTGCTACTTAAAACAGTGACGCCTTGGTTTGATGCCCAAGCAAAGCACAAAGTGCACAATTAGATTATCATGCAGTGATGAATTAGGGAATATACACTACACTGCTTTTTTTATTGCAGCTTAGGTGATAGGAACTCCACACTATGAATTGGAAAGAAACAATTCTAATATTGCTATTTTATGTAAATGCTCCCTCAACTATGCCAAAAACAATGCAAACAGAAGTGTTTGCTCTACTTGAAGAGTGTTTGCACATGAATTAGACCATATGTCATATGAAAGCACATTCATGTATAGTATATCACTTTATATCTATGTATTTATAGTATACTTCTATAACGTGACAAATCAGCATGACATTCATATTCTTTCCCCCCAAATTATTGGGATAAGCATAGTGATGGTGATGATATCAACATTTTTGTTTTAAGTGTCCAATATAAAAATTATAAAAATCTGAAATATTTCAGCCACAACTATTATAGAATTACCCCAGTGATATTCCTGTTGGTCTACGCATTCAGGCATTCAACATTTTTGGTTGGCATTAAATGCTATCCATATAGTTCCAACAATCGTCATGCAAGCATCAAGTTCGTAGCCAGTACGCCATAGTAGAGATCAAAATACAATACAAGCAGATCTCAGCAAGAGAAGCAAGTGCAACTCTACCTGCACACAATATTACAACACAAATATATCTCAAAGAGCAAGTCCAACTCTACCCAATGCATTCCAAAATAATCCACCAAAATCATCAGCAAGAAAACCCTAGTTCCATCATCAACCAAAAATTGCCAAAATTTGGGAAGAAAAAAACAGTTCTCAAAATAGTCAAGCAGAGCAACACATCGGATCTCACTGAAGAGTCGATATTCGTGAGGGTGAAGATCGGGGAGGGAGAGCAGAGAAGGGCATAGGAGGAAATTTTTCTTAAACGCGAGTTGCGGATGCAGGACGCGGGGGCTATCCCGCATCTTCCACCTATTAAAAATTTATTACCTGTGTATCGGGGTGGCACCAAAACGCCGAGCGAACACAGGTTTCAAACACAGCGGCATAATTTTCAAACTGCCGCCGCACCCCAATAAGCTGCCCCAAACAGGCCCTAATTTTTCTGGGTAACATATTGATAGAACTCTTTTTTTTTTAAGTAACAAATTTGAGTCACACATTTTTTTAAATATTCCTTATTATATATATATATAAAAATTATAAAGCGATATTAGACTCGATTTGATGTTCTCAAGGGCACCAAGTTGGTTTATATTTAAATTTTTCAACTTAGATGTTATTTTATGATCCCATAATAACACTTCTTTCTTTTTGTTTCTTTTCTAATAATGTTGGAAACAAATTGGATTTCGTGCTCCTGATACCTCTCTTCTCAGGAGATAGGAGGTCCTTAATATTTAAGCAAAAATGTAAGATCAATGATCAAAATAGAAAGACATTCAATAAAAAAGTATGAGAAATTTGCCTTACAAAATCGGGATTACCTTTTTTTTTTTGTACTAATGCAGTGTCACTAAAAACTCATTTTAATCATAAGAAAAATGTGATGATTTGCATTTTTCATGTTAGTTAATTTCTTAACATAAATAATGCATGAGAACGACTCCCAACACAATTTTTTTGGGTGCATTTACTTACATGCCACACAATTCGTATGTATCTACATATCCAATATATAAACATTCATATTTACATGCATACCACTATAGTTTTTAACATAACATTAAAATACCACAACAACAACAACAATTCTTTATCCCACTAAGTGGGGTCTGCTACATGAATCCTTTTTTCCATTGCGTCCATTGCGTCCTATTTGTCCTATTTAGTGTCATGTTTTCATTTAATTCCAATAAACTAAGATCATTTTTATGCAATATGCCCTAGTCAACCTAGGTCTTCATCTGTCTTTCTTAACAAAAGTTGATTCTACAACATCTACTCTTCTGATCGGATCATCCGATGGTCGACGTTTATTGTGACCAAACCATCTAAGACGATTCTCTCTAATTTTGCCCGTAATTGGAGCTACACCAACCCTATTACGGATATATTCATTGCGCATTTTGTCTCTAAGTGTAAAGCTACTCATCCACCTAATCGTTCTGATCTTGGTAACACTTAACTTAGTTTTATGTTTCTCTTTTAAAGGCCAACATTTAGCGCCATAGAGCATTGTAGGTCTCACCACCTTATAAAATTTTCCTTTTAGTCTAAGCGGTACTTTTCTATCACACATTAGGTCCGAACCATTCCTCCACTTCAACCAACCAACTTGAATTCTACTAATAACATCCCCATCAATATCACCATCACTTTGAACAATAGACTAGAGATAAGAGATATCTAAAGATATCTAAAGCGTTCGTACCTTTTAACAATTTGATCACCCATAGTTACATATCGTCACTAGAGCTACTATTAAAATGACATTCCATGTATTCAGTTTTAGTTCTACTCAAACGAAGGCCTTTAGACTCCAACGTAAACCTTCATAATTCAAGATTTTACTAAGCTTTTTCTCTCGTCTTATCCACGAGAAGGATATCATCAGCAACAAGCATACACCAAGGTACATCCTCGTGTAAATGTCCAGTAAGACCATCCATAACTAAAGCAAAAAGATATGGGCTTAAAGTCGATCCCTAATGTAATCCAACAAAAATAGGAAAATATTTGGTCAATCCTCCTTCAGTTCGAACAAAAGTAACATTAAAATACTTCAATCACAAATTTTTTAAAACCTTTTCATGCGTTTATGACACCAAGGCCTTGTTGAACTGTAAATATCAAACTTTGGGTGTTAATATATAAATACGTATGTATTGTGTAGTATATATCTTTTTTTCTTAAAATGTGGTTTCATTCATGCAGCTCATAGTTCAGCAGGACCGAAGATGGACATCATTCTTGAAGAAGATGGAAAGCCATCAGGATTTCTGGCTTCAAGCAAAGAAGAATACGCTGACGCCATTCTCAAGGTTCTGAGGATGTCAGAAGCAGAAAGGCTGGAAATTGCTGCGGCTGCGAGGAAGCGTGCAGAGAAGTTCTCTGAGAAAATGTTCTATGAAAATTTTAAATCTGCTATTTGCCCCATATTCTACACATAGCTTGAATCTCTTAAAGACTTGAATTTTCATATTTGCGAAGGTGAAGTTGACGTCCCAAATTGATCCATATAATGATGTAAAAATTCAAATGGAAGTTAATTATATATATTTTGGTCTAAATTGGTTCATGATTCAATAATTGAGGATTTATTTGGGTTTTCTGGGGCTCTAAATGTTCGTTTGACTTGCATCTAAATATTCATTTGGCTCATTTGCTTAATGAATGAATCAAATATGAGCCATTTAACCAGTAGAACATGAGTTGTTCGGGGACAATGAGCTTTTTTAACAGCCATATTCGTGATCATGAAAGCTGTTAGAAGTTGACCTGAATTTTATTTGGCCTGAATCGAAAAGATCACGGTACATCATATATAGTGCAGCCAAAATTATGTAAACATTTTTTGGAAAATTGTGCTTGGTAGTGGAGGGATTGGGCTATATATATAGAGAGAGGTTTTTGTATATATGAAGGGGGTCAGCCGTGCCATCCTAACTGCTCTACTTTATAATCTTGTCTATTTTATAATCTTCTGCAACAGTAGTGAATATTTTGAATTTTCATGTAAATTTGTGTGTTATCTTCTATACTTTTGCTGTTCATTGTGTTAGTTTCGTAACAAAAGCCGTGTTAAGTCAAAAAATTTTCAATCCGTATTGTTACTTTTACTGTACATGTGTTGTTTTTGTAACAAAAAACTCGTGTTATCCTTTTTAATCCGTACTATTTTGATGATCTTCTTTGCCATTACCTTGTGTCATCTGCGAATTAGTGAAGCTATTGGGTGCTGCTATTGCTGGGCTTCATTCCATGATAAATGAATATGTTGGCATCAGTGTGGTTGAATATTGCAGCTTGTGCTGTCCTTATTAGTCAGCTATAACTTAAAAAACAATAATCTTACGCTTCCTTTAGTTATTTTCTTATTCTTATCATTAAAGATTTGTACATTAGAGCTCCTACCTTGTTTGAACAGGAGGAGAATTAACTAAGCATTTTTCTATTTCAGTTGGATTACATCAGGGATCAGCTTTAAGCTCATGTCCTTTTATTTTAGTTATGGATGCTTTTACTAGGCATTTATAGGAGTTTTAGTTATGGATGCTTTTATTGGGCATTTATAGGAGGATGTACCTTGGTGCATGTTTTTCGCTATTGGTATCCTTCTTGTGGATAAGATTAGAGAAAAAGTTGAAGAAAAACTTGGATTATGGAGGTCTACATTGGAGTGTGGAGGTCTACATTGGAGTCTAGGTCTACATTGGAGTCTAAAGGCTTTTGTTTGAGTAGAACTAAAACTGAATACATGTAATGTAATTTTAATAGCATATTTAGTGACAGAATTATAATTATTGATGATTAAAGCATTAAAAGTTGTGAACGTTTTAGATATCCCGGGTTTATTGTTTAAAGTGATGATGATATAGATGGGGATGTTATTATTAGAATTCATGTTGGTTGGTTGAAGTGGAGGAGTTGAAGTGGAGGAATGGGAATGTCTTGGGCCTATTGTGTGATAGAGTAGTACCGCTTAGAATTTAAGGAAAATTTTATATGATGGGTCAAGAGACCTGCAATGTTTTATGTTGCATAATGTTGACCTTCAAAAGAAAAGCATAAGACTAAGGAGCCGTTTGGGGCAGTTAATCCGCGCGAGTGACATTTTGAAAATGCCGTTGTAGAGTTTGGTTCGTGCAATCCTCCAGATTATGCTAAAATGCCGTTTTTTGGTTTTTAATAGACGGGGCCACGGGACCACTCCCGTGAGCGGTCCGCATCTTGGATGCAAGATCAATAGGGATTTCTTCTTGTGCCCTTATGTTTTCATCTCCTCCCTCGCTCGATCTCTGTCCTATTCGAGCGCATGCACGATGCTTGAGAGTTAACACTAGCTCCATTATCCGGCTCCTGGTCCCTTTTATCTATTTCCTTTACTAGGCGAAGCGGGCCTCCATAAGGATTGCCTTTTACCTACTGCAAGAGATCAGACTTGTTTCGCTTGTGGTGGGAGACTGACTTCTGTTAACTTAGCTCCATTGTAAAAGAAGTATTGGCGCAGGAGGAGAAGATACCGAGGCGGCGGTGCTTCGCTCTCTTCGGTAGGAGTCAGGGATCATCATATTGGTCCAAGATTTACTGGTATTGTTGGATGTCGACCATTGCTAGGTTTGTCATCTTGGTCTCGGGACTGTTTGATTGATTTTTCCAGTAAATTTTTTTTTTTGTCTTCTATTATTTTATTTTCTTTGTTTTTGATTGATTTCTAAGGTTTGGGAATTTATTCAATCAATTCATGATATTCTGTTGTGTTGATTTTCAATTATGGTGGGAAGCATGATTTTGGTGGATTGGTATCTTTGTGTAGGTTTGGCTGGCTATCTTTTGCTTGATAAATTTGATAAACAAGAAGGCCAATAAAGAACAAAAGAATAAAAATGTTAGTATCAGAGTTTATAGAGGAAGTACAGAATGTAAAAGCAAAGTGAAAAATGCGGCAGCTTTTACGTGAGGATGGAAATCAATTTTAGGATAAGGTTAGTTATGTTTTATGAGGTAGGGAATGATTGAGAAAGAAGTAAGAGAATTAATTTTAATTGGGAGTAAACTGAGTGAAATAAGAAGTAAATATTAATTGAAATAAGAAGTAAATCTAAACTGAAATATTATATTGTGTACCTTTTAACACATTGGAATCACCATCACTGTGTGTATTCTTAGTTCTAGGCTTGGTTCAAACCAAGATACATAGGTTTCAACTAGAAAGGGGAAATAGCTCTTGAATTAATTACACTATTTGGTGAAGATCGATGATTTAGTAACAGTTATGAAATTCCATATCATTGATTCTAAGACTTCGTTCAATGCCCTTCTGGGTCAACCATGAGTTCATGCGCATAGGATGGTTCCTTCGTCTTTACACCAATGAATAAAATACTGTTATGAAGGACAAGAACATTGCCTAAAAGAAGATTTACTATCATTTTTAATACACAAAGTGGGTATTCATGAGGATGCCACTTCCTACACTCCCGAATAAGACAATTTTCTCTATATATATTATACCAAATAAAGTAGAGAATCCAAAAAATTTACATAACCAAGTCCATCCAATTCTAGTTCGACAATCTCCTATTGCTCTTTTACAACAAGATGGTGAAAACTCTTCCAGAACTCGCATTCGAGGTCAAGGTCGGGGATGAGGGCAAGGAAGGAAAAAATAAAGTTGTTGAATGGAAGAATCCAATTATCAGCATTGACTTGGAAGATAGTTCTGAGGAAGCAAAAATCAAGAAGAATGCAACAACAATAAATCAAAAGAAGCCTCATTTCGAGTTCTCTTTGGAAGATGAAGAAATTTGCGAACATAAGTCAATGTAAGATAATATTAACCACTATGTACAAACATTGGTTCTAACACTGATCTATCCTCATAAAGTTGAGGGTTTGATGGTCAAGGAAGTACATGGTGTGGTTATAAATCCAATTAAATTTCACTTTGGTTCTTCTTGTTCTAGTTCTGAGACTAATGAAAAACTAGAAGAAGATATTTCTTCTAAATTAATGGAATTGCTTGTTGGATGGTATTCTTCGTGTGTTCAGAAACTTGTTCAACGTGGCATTGTGCCTAAACATTGGCTAAAAGACAAATTACACCACATTGAAGAAGTTTGGAACAACAATAATCGAGTTTTTAACTTGAAAGAAGGTATCAGATTTGGCACAGTAGGGTCGCCTGATGATATGAATTTTTTTGTTGTTACTAATGATCTGAATGAGAATTGTTTAGAGGCTTTGGACAACTTTGAAGATTCTACGATAGAAGCGCTCCACCAGAATTTGAAGAAGAGATCAAATCAACAATCAATGAACTAAAAGATATTAATTGGGAACTAAAGAAGAGTCTATACTAACCTTTATTAGTTCTCTACTCAATGAAGAATATTCTACATATATGATTAAATTATTGTCAGAGTTCAAAGAATGTTTTTCTTGCAGTTATGATGAGATGCCTGTACTAGCTCCAAAAGAAGCAATTCATAAGTTGGGATTAGATCAAACAGCAATTCCTGTCGACCATGCTCCTAGAAGAATGCGTCTTGAAATTGCACAAGTCATAATTGAAGTTAAGAAGTTAATAGACAGTAATTTTATTCGTGAATAGCAACATCCAACATATTTAGCTAGTGTGGTGCTGGTTAGAAAGAAAAATAATCAAATTTGAGTTTGTGTCGACTTCAGAGATTTGAATAAAGTACGCCCAAATGATGAATTTCCGCTATCAATTCTAGAAATTAATTGTAGATATTACATTGTCTCATGCAATTTTCTCTTTTATGGATGGATCATTTGAATATAATCAACTTAAAATGACACCATAAGATGAAAGTTCACAGCATTCAAAACACTGATCAGGATATATTGCTACATAATGATGTTCTTTGGATTAAAGAATGCAGGTGCAACCTACCAGTGGGCAATAACAAGAATTTTTAATGAACTCATTCACAACCAGGTTGAATTCTATGTGGACGATTTAGTCATTAAAAGCAACATAAAGATGACCACTTGTGTGATATGTGAATTATCTTTGAACGATTTGATAATTTAATCTTGAAATGAATCTCCTAAAGTGCACCTTCGGTGTCACCTATAGAAAGTTCTTAAGATTTGTTTTACATCACCATAGAATTGAAAGAGATCCTTAGAATATTAAAGCTGTCTTAAAAATGCCACCCCCTAAGATCTTAAAGCAATTACGAACTTTTCAAGGGAAGCTGACATATCTAAGACGCTTTATTTCTAATCTGTCAAACAGATGTCAGACTTTTTTCTGTGTTAACCAAGAAAGATGCTAAGTTTAGTTGGGACGATAAATGTCAACATGCTTTAGAAAGTATTAAACAATACTTAATGACACCTATACTAGCAGCCCAGTCCCGAGTAGACCGTTGATACTTTATACCGCGGCTTTAGATGACTTCCTTAGAACCCTGTTAGCTCAGGTCAATAATGAAGATAAAGAATATGGTCTTTATTATTTAAGTCGCCATCTAATATTGATGGAGTTGAAGTATCCCTCTATTAAGAAAAAATATCTGACTTTGGTTTTCGCTGCTTAAAAGCTTAGACATCATATGCTTTCTCATAAAGTCAACCTTATCTCGAAGTTTAATCCGTTGCAATATTTGATGACATGAATGATAATTTTTGGTAGTTTAACAAGGTTATCGATGATATTGTTACAATTTGATATAACTTTTGTACCTTTTCGCGCTATAAAATGACAAATTTTGGCAGATTTTCTCACAACCCACCCGTTACTGGCCGCGTCTCCCCTCAATGATGATTTGTCAGATAAGCAAATAATGTATTTAGAAGACCCCAATGCCCAACATTGGGAGATGTACTTTGAAAGAACATCATCAGCTCGAAAAGACAAAGAATCAAAAACGATAGTGCCAAGTAAGGCAGGGATCAGACTAATTTT